CCGCCTGCGCCGCTGGCATTAGCCCCACGCATGTTGGCACACCCCTCACACGGTTCGTGACCCCATAGGGAGCTCCACCTAAGGCTCCAACGGCGACCTTCCCGTGCGTCCCCGCCACCCATTTTGGTACACCCCTCACACGGGTTGTGGACCCGTACGGAGCTCCACCGAAGGCCCCAGCGGCAGGGTTCACATGGCGGCGCCGCCTCATTTTTGCGCACCCCTCACACGGCTCGTGGCCCCGTAGGGAGCTCCACAGAAAGCCCCAATGGCAGGTTTCACATCAGCGCCGCCCCATATTGGCGCACCCCTCATACGACTCGTGGTCCCATACGGAGCTCCACAGACAGCCCCAGTGGCAGGGTCCACATGGCGGCGCCGCTCCATTTTGGAACACCCCTGACACGGTTCATCAGGGAGCTCCACCGAAGCCCCAGTGGCGGGGTCTAGATGGCGGCGCCGCCCCATATTGGCGCACGACTCATACGGTTCGCGGCCCGAGAAGGAAATCAGCCGAAAACACCAGTGGCAGGGTCCACATGGCGGCGCCGCCCCATTCTGGTGCACCGTTCACACAGTTCGTGGCCCCAGATGGATCCCAGCCGAAGGCCCCAATGACGGCGCCGGCCTTTTTTGGCGCACCCCTCACACAGTTCGTGGCCCCATAGGGACCTCCACCGAAGGCCCCAATGGCGGGGTTCGCATGGCGCTGCCGCCCCATTTTGGCGCTCGCCTTAAACAGTTCGTTGTCCCATAGGGAGCTCCACCGAATGCGGTGCCGCAACACGGTACTCACAACTGCAGATGGTTGGGTCCTTCGGCGAGATAATTCCAATACGTCAACCCCCAGAGGTCTCGACCGCGTTCCCGTGACCAGCGTTTCTGAGTAGTTCTTCTGACGGCCCCAGGGCCTGGTAAGCGACCCCAGAGGGCAAGAGGCGTGCTGAGATCTCTGGCAATTGGCTAATAATATTACTAGTTCGCGAACACGGAGCGGCCCATGGGGGTCCCTGGACCCAAAATGCCCTGGGAACAGCCGAGCTGCAGCCCGGCAGACTCCCCCAGAGCGCTCCAGGAGCGCTCCAAGAAGGCACCCAAAGGCCCCCAAGACGTTCCAAGAGGGCTCCGAGTCACCAAACGACCAGACCAAGACGCCCAAGATGGCCTCCAGCCGACCCAAAAAGTCCTTAAGACGCCCCAGGAGGCCTCCAAGAGACCTTCCAAGAGGGCCCCCACAGTAACAATGTGATGTCCTAAGAGTTTTGAAAGATTGTGGCCTTCTCGTCTTTCCCGCTTCCCAGCGCACCAAGACGGCCCAAAAAGTTCCCAAGATCGTCCCAACATGGCCCAAGCGGCCTCCAAGAGCGCCCCAAAACGACCCCCGAGGGCCTCAAGACAGACCTAGAGGCCTCCAAGATGGCCCAAGAGGCCCCCAAGACGGCTCCAAGAGCGGGCCCAGACGGGGGACCCGAACGGACATCTCGAGCTGTATGCCCCGAGAGCCCCCAGGAGGCCCCAAGAGGCCCCCGAGAGGCCCCCGAGAGGCCCCCCGAAGAGGCCCCCAAAAAGGCCCCCAAGAGGTCCCAGAACGTCTCAGAAATGCCGCCGAGAGGCCCCACAAAGGCCTCCCAAAAGACCCCAAGCCGCCTCCGAAAGAGGGCTCCGACATCGCAGAAGAATGTCTCCTCCTCCGCCTCGTATGCCCCCCGCAGAAGCATTCACGGGCAACAAACCCCAACGCAGGCGCCAGAGGTCCCCAAGGCGGCACAACCCAGAAGCCCCGTGGAAAACAACGACTGCCCCTGCAACTCCCCACAAGGTCCAAAGGAATCGACACGAAGCTGCTCCACGAGAGCTGCCTTAACCCCAACATGCCAAACGCAACGCTTCACAAAAACAGCAGCCGCGCCCTGCAGCTCCGCACTGCCGTCGGCCGCGGTCCGCAATATGGGCCGGCGGAATGAGCGAAGCGACTAAACATAGAAACACCTTCCGATGGATCCCTCCCCCGTCCCGCGGCCGCAGCGACTATTCTGCGAGGCCCTCCCTGCGGCCTCCGCCGCCGTCGGCGCCGCGCAGAGCGAGGCCGCGAGCGCCCGGAGGGCGGTGCGCAGGGGCCGGAACTCAAGCCGATCCTGGCAGCCCAGACGAAGAGGAGGGGCGAGGGGGGGAGGGAGGGGAGGAGGAGGAGGAGGAGGAGGAGGAGGAGGAGGAGGAGGAGGAGGAGGAGGAACAGGGGTAGGAGGACCAGTGCATAACCAAGAGTCATCAACGATGTTGGAACAAACCCTCCCTCCAAGCTCCCTCAATGGTTCATTTCCACAGAAGGAACTGCCTCGTTGGAAGACTGCCGTTTGAAATCCCGGAAGTATGCCAAAAAAAAAATGTCTTGGGATACCAACGCCACGGATCAACCAAATTATCGCGTCTTGACGATCCAGAATCATGCCAGAACGCCATTCCTGGTACTCCAACGCCGCGAATCAACGTAACTGCTGCACCATCATAATTCTGAACCCTTCCAAAACACCACTCCTGGTACGCTGAGCATGCGAATCCGTGAGACCCTTGCAAAGTTTAAAAACAAATGTGCGCGGCGCTGAGACTAGAGCCACATGTTGAAAAAGAACCGCCCTCAATAATGCGCGCGGCGCGAAGGCGAAAGCCACATTCTGAAAACGGGTCGCCTTCAATCCGTGGAACTCTTGCACATGTTTAAAACGAATGCGTGCGGCGCTAAAGCGAGAACTACGGTTGGAAAACGAATCGCCCTCAATCCGTTAAGATCTTGCATTTTGTCCCAACCATCCTGTGGTGTTGGGTCCTCGCTTTAAAGAGACAGCGCCCCGCGTTCCTTCCTTCCTTACTCTCCTCCTCCCTCCTCCCATCACCATCATCAACATTATTGCCGTCATCACCACCCACTTGGCACACCCTTCACACGCTTCGTGACCCCAGAGGGAGCTCAACCTAAGGCTCCAGTGGCGACGTTCCCATGCGTCCCCGCCACCCGTTTTGGCACACCCCTCACACAGTTCTTAGCCCCGTAGGGAGCTCCGAAGGACCCAATGGCGACATTCCCATGCGTCTCCGCCACCCGTTTTGGCACAACCCTCACACGGCTCGTAGCCCCATAGGGAGCCCCGCCAAAGGCCCCAACGGCGACGCTACCATGCGCCCCCGCCACCCATTTTAGCACACCCTTCACACATTTCGTGACTCCACAGGGAACTCCACCTAAGGCTCCAGTGGCGACCTTCCCATGCGTCCCCGCCACCCATTTTGGTACACCCCTCACACGGCTCGTAGCCCCATAGGAAGCTCCACCTAAGGCCTCAGTGGCGACGTTCACATGCGCCCCCGCCACCCATTTTGGCACACCCCTCACACAGTTCGAGGCCCGATAAGGAGCTCCACCAAAGGCTCCAAGGCTCCAGTGGCGACGTTCTCAAGCGTCCCCGCCACCCATTCTGGCACAACCCTCACACGGTTCGTGACCCCAGAGGGAGCTCCACCTAAGGCCCCACTGGCGCATAGGGAACTCCACCGAAGGCCCCAGTGGCGATCTTCCCATGCGCTCCCGCCACCCATTTCGGCACCCCTCACACGGTTCGTGGCCCCATACGGAGCGCCACCGAAGACGAGATCCACAATTGCGGCACTCACATCTGCGAACGGTTGGGTCTTTCGCAACGCTGATTTAAAACGAATGTGCGCGGCTCTGAGGCGAGAGCCACATCTTGAAAACGGCCCGCCCTCTATCTGCAAAACTGTTACTGATGCTTAAACTTCAGGGCCTAAAACAATGAGAAACTCTCAGGCGAAACGCCCGGCCCGCCCTGAAAACTGGCCTCGGGGTGCGACAGGGAGAAGTTAGTTACAAGGAAAAGGATTGGAGGAGGAGGAGGAGGAGGAGGAGCAGGAGCAGGAGGTGGGAGGAGCGCTGCCAACAGATTTATACACAATCCCTCGGTGAGGGTTCTTGTCAGCAACTGCCGCTCTGTCCCTCGGTGAGGGCCTTGACCTGGGGAGGGTTTGGGGTGGATGAGCAGGAGGGGGGTGCGACGGAGAGGGACTTCACCGCCTGGCTGGCGCATACTTTGCGAATTTCTTCGCGCCTCTCTTCGAGCCCGGCGTAACTTGATGATCAGAGCATCGCTGTCGGCCGATCTTTTTGCGCACTGCCCACATTCACGACACGGGCTTTGTCCTACGTAAGGTTTGCCCAACGTCAAAAAGGAGGAGGAAGAGGAGGAGCAGCAGCAGCAGGAGCAAGAGCAGGAGCAGGAGGGAGGGCACCCCCCGGACCAGGTCGACTGGGCGGGCGAGGGCGAGAGGAGGAGAAGGGTCGGGAGCCTGAGGCTGCTGGGGCACGCGTCGCCCCCTCCTGCCTGCCCCCCCCCCCCCCCCCGGAAAAAAACATAAAAAAGAAACAGGAAAAAAAAGAAAAAACAAAAAAAATAAAAAAGGGCCTAAAACCCGCCGCCACGGTCGGATTTCCCCCGCGGAACTCTTGCAGGAGTACACCCCAGGAGGAGATCTGGGGGGAGCGGGGACCACAGAGTACAGGCGGGGCGGCAGGGGAGGGCGCTGGGGAGCTCCTCCTCCTCCCCCTTCTTCTTCTTATTATGCTGATTATGTTTATTATTTTCTTATTATTCTTCTTCTTCTTATTATCATTAATTGTCTTATTAATCTTATTCATCTTATTCGTATTATTATTCTTAGTCTTAATGATAGTATTCGTCTTCTTAGTCTTCTTATTATAATTATTCTTATGCTTATTATCACTATGATTGTTATTATTATTATTATTATCCTTATTAGCATTCGTATTATTATTCTTCTTCGCATTATTTCCCCAATCAGAGCTTGCCTCGGTAGGGGTCCTAGCCGATTCAGATGGTTAGGTTTGGTTTGCCGCCGATTTTCGCCGCACGCCCAGGTGTCCGGGTGCCCGGGTGCCCATGGGTGCCCGGGTGCCCGGGTGCCCGGGTGCCTGGGTGCCCGGGTGCCTGGGTGCCTGGGTGCCCGGTTGCCCGGGTGCCTGGGTGCCCAGGTGCCCGGTAGCTCTATATAGCCCTATAGCCCTATAGCCCTGTAGCCCTATAGCCCTATTAGCCCTATAGCCTTATAGCCTTATAGCCCTATAGGCCTATAGCCCTATAGCGCTATAGCCCAAGAGCCCTATAGCCCTATGGCCCTGTAGCCCTGTAGCCCTATAGCCCCATAGCCGTCTAGCCTATGGCCATATAGCCCCATAGCCCTAAAGCCCTAAAGAGATCATAATTGGGCTTGTCTCCGGTATCATATTATTCTAATTCGTCTTACTAGTATTCGGATTATTCTTATTATTGTTAGCAGTATTATTATGATGTGTCTGTTTATTATTCCTAGTATTCTTCATATTATCCTTAAAACTAGTCTTCGTAATCTTATTATTATTCTTAGTATTGTCATTCTTAGTAGTGGTATTATTATTGGTTTTATGGTTATTAGTATTCGAATGTGTGTTGTTCTCTTAGCATTGCTATTATTATTCGTCTTCGTATTATTCGCCTTATTCTTATTAGTATTATTCGTATTAGTATGATTACTATTATTAGCGTTACCAGTCTTATTCTTCGTAAAACTATGTATAGTATTTATTCTTCTAATATTGTCATCCGCATTACTCTTATTATTATTATGATTATTATTGTTCGTCGTTTTCTCGCTATTATTATTCAAATGATTCGTCTTCATCTTCTTTATCGTCTTCATCTTCTTCATCTTCCTCCTCCTCCTTCTCCGCATCCTCCTCCTCCTCATCCTCCCTCCTCCTCCCACCTCCCTCCCTCCTCCTCCTCCTCCTCCTCATCCTCATCCTCCTCTTCCTGCTCCGCCTCCTCCTCATTATTTATAGTATTTCATGTTATTACTCTTATCACCCGTATTACTCTTATTATTATGCGTAGTAGTGTCCTTCTTAGTATTAGTAGTATTCAACTTATTCGTATTTATCTTCTTTTTCGTCTTCATCTTCTTCATCTTCCTCCTCCTCCTCCTCCTCCTACTCCTCCTCCTCATTCCTCCTCCCCCTCCCTCCTCCTCCCCTCCTCCTCCCGCCTCCATCCTCCCTCCTCCTCCTCCTCCTCCTCCTACTCCTCCTCCTCCTCCTGCTCCTCCTCCTCATCCGCATCCTCGTCCTCATTCTCATCCTCCTCCTTTTCTCCCGCCTTCTCCATCACTTTGCCTTAGAAATAACTCCTTCTCATCGCACTCCCAGACAGGGCGGGCAGGGCGTTTCGCCTACGACCCCCCCCCCACCGCATATGGACCTGAAGATTGAAATGTGCAACAAACTCACGGATGGAGGGCGGGCGGTGTTCAAAAGGTGGCCCTCGCCTTGGCGCCGTGCCATTCGTTTCGAAAAGCTGCAAAAGTTTCACAGATGGAGGGCGGGTGGTTTCAAATAGTGGCTCTCGCCATCAAAGCTCGCTCGCAACAGCTTCACGGATGGAAAAAGGACGGGTTTCGAAATGTTGCGTTGGCCTTAGCTCCGCGCACAGTCGTCGTAAGAGTATGTGGAAAGCTTGCAACAGTTTCAAGGATGAAGGGCTCTTCTTTTCAAAGTGTGGTTCTCACCTCAGCGCCGCGCACGTCCGTTTTGAAAGTTTGAAATATTCGCATGGCCGCAGTCCCAGAGATGGTGCTCTGGCAAGACTTAGGACTATCAGGACGCAACAGTCACGTTGATTCAAGGTGTTGGAATCCAAGGCATGGTGCTCTGGCACGATCTAGGATTGGAACGGTGCAACAGCCGCGTTGGTTGGTACGCTGACGCCCCAGGAAGTACTCTAGTACGCTTGAAAAGTCATAGACGGCTGTTGTCCAATGGGGCATGCCCCGCAGTGACAAAACTTTAACCTGGCAAAAGACCCAACCATTCGCACATGTGAGAACCGCAATTGTGGATATCGTCTTCAATGGAGCTTCCTATGGGACCACGAGCTGAAGGGGGGGGAGCGTGCCGAGAATGTGTGGCGGGGACGCAGGGGAACGTCGCCACTGGGGCATTCGGTGGAGCTCCCTGTGGGGCCACGAGCCGTGTGAAGGGTGTGCCAAAATGAGCGGCGGGGACGCAGGGGAACGTCGCCACTGGGGCCTTCGGTGGAGCCCCCATATGGGGCCACGAGCCGTGTGAAGGGTGTGCCAAAATGAGTGGCGGGGACGCAAGGGAACGTCGCCACTGGGGCCTTCGGTGGAGCCCCCATATGGGGCCACGAACCGTGCGAGGGGCGTGCCAACATGGGTAGCGGGGACGCATGGGAACGCCGCCACTGGAGCCTTAGGTGAAGCCCTTTTCTGATGCCACGAACCGTGTCAAGGGTGTGCCAAAATAGGTGGCGGGGGCGCATGGGGACGTCGCCAGCGGAGTCTTCGATGGAGCTTCCTATGGGGCCACGAACCGTGGGAGAAGCACGCCGAAAATGGGTGGCGGGAACGCATGCGAACGTCGCCACTGGGGCCCTCGATGGAACTCCCTATGGGGCCACGAAGCGTGTAAGGTGTGTGCCGAAATGGGTGGCGAAGACGCATGGGAACGTCGCCACTGGGGCCTTAGGTGGAGCTCCCCATGGGGCCACGAACCGTGCGAGTAATGTGTGCCAAAATGGGTGGTGGAGACGCTTGGGAATGTCGCCACTGGAGCCTTAGGTAAAGCCCCCTTTGGGGCTAAGAACCGTGTGAGGGGTGTGCCCAAAATGGGCGGCGGGGGCGCATGGGAACGTCGCAATTGGGGCCTTCGGTGGAACTCCCTATGGGGCTAAGAACCGTGTGAAGGGTGTGCCAAATGGGTGGCGGGGGCGCATGGGAACGTAAAGAAAAAGAAAAAAAATAAAATAATAAAAAATAAAATAAAAAAAAACGTAATAAAATGGAAAGAGAAAAACATAGTTTAAAAAAAAAAAAAAAAATAAAAAAAAAAAAAAATCCACTGGAAAGATGACAAACAAATAAGACTGGCAATATTATGGAACAAATAAAAGACAATATAAATGGGGAAACAAAAAGAAGAAAAAGAGGAAAATTAGAAACAAAAAAAGACCTTAGGTAGAACCCCCTACGGGCGCACGAACCGTGTCAGGGGCGTGCCAAAATGGGTGGTGGAGACGCTTGGGAATGTCGCCACTGGAGCCTTAGGTGAAGCCCCCATTATGGGGCTAAGAACCGTGTGAGGGGTGTGCCCAAAATGGAAGGCGGGGGCGCATGGGAACAACACCACTGGGGCCTTCGGTGGAGCTCCCCATGGGGCCACGAACCGTGTGAGGGGTGCGCCAAAATGGGTGGCGAAGACGCATGGGGACGTCGCCACTGGGGCCGTAGGTGGAGCTCCCCATGGGGCCACAAACCGCGTGGGGGGTGTGCAAACATGAGTGGCGGGAACGCACGTGAACGTCGCCACTGAAACCTTATGTGGAGCTCCTTATGGGACCACGAACCGTGCGAACCGTGCGAGGAATGCGTGCCAAAATGGGTGGCGAGGATGCATGGGAACGTCGCCACTGGCGCCTTAGGTGGAGCCCCCCTATGGGGTCACAAAACGTGTGAACGGTGCGCCAAAAATGGTTGGTGGTGGCAGCACTGATGTTGATGATGGTGATGGGAGGGGGGGGGGGGAGAGGAAGGAAGGAAGGAACGCGAGGCGCTGTCTCCTCATAGCGAGGACCCAGCGCCACAGGATGGCTGGGAATTAATTACCGTAGGGCCCCGTGACGGGGGGGGGCTTGGAGGGAGGGCGTACTGCAACGTCGTTGATGCTCCTTGGACGTACACTGGTCCTCCTCCTCCTCCTCGTGATCTTCCTCCTCCGCATCGTCCTCCTCCTCCTAGTGCGCCGCGTCCTCCTATTCCTCCTCCTCCTCTTCCTCCTCCTCCTCCTCATCCTCCTCCGCTTCCTCCTCCTCCTCCTCCTCCTCCTCCTCCTCCGCCTCATCCTTCTCCGTTTCCTCGTCCTTCCCGCCCGACGGGATCAGACAGAAGGATTCAGAGACACTCAGACTTTGAATGACATGGTCAGTAAACCTCTGGAGCGTGGAGGTCGTGAACGTGTGCCCCCCATACGATTATGTCTATGTGATTCGGTTTGAGTGTCACAGCACCGCTCTGGTGAGAGTCTCATCATCATCATCACCATCATCATCATCATCATCATCGACCTGCTGATCATCATAAGTATCATCAGCATCGACATCAGCATCATCAGTCATCACCATCATCATCATCATCATCATCATCAGCATCATCATCATCATCATCATCAGCAGCAGCAGCAGCAGCAGCATCCTCATAATCATCATCATCATCAGCAACAGCATCATCATAATCCGTATAAGCATCATCATGATCGTCAGCATCATCATCATCATCAGCATCATAACCTCATCAGCATCAGCATCCTAGTCCTCATCGTCACCATCATTCGCATCACCATCAGAATCATCATCATCATCATCGTCATCGTCAGCAGCAGCAGCATCATAAGCATCATCAGCATCACCATCACCATCATCATCATCATCATCATCATCATCATCATCATCATCATCATCATAATCATCATCATCATCATCATCATCATCATCATCATCATCATCATCATCAACATCACCATCACCATCATCATCACCATCACCATCACCCTCGTCATCATCATCAGCATCAGCATCATCATCAGCATCATCATCATCGTCATCATCAACCCCTTCACCCTCATCATCAGCTTCATCCTCCCGATCCTCATCATAGTCTACATCCTCAACCTCATCCTCAACATCATCAGCATCATCATCAGCAGCATCATCATCAGCATACTCATCCTCGTGATCATCATCATCATCATCATCATCATCATCATCATCATCATCGGCAGCAGTAGCATCAGCATCATCATCATCAGCATCATCATCATCATCATCATCATCATCATCCTCTGCATCAAAATCAACAGCCTCGTCAGCTTCGACATCATGATCCTCATCCTCACCATCAGCAGCATCAGCATCGTCGTCATCATATCAGCAGTATCATCATCATCAGCATCATCATCATCATCATCACCATCATCATCATCGTCAGCATCATCAGCATCATCATCAGCATCGTCACCATCATCATCACCAGTATCATAATAATCATCATCAGCAGCATAACCATCATCTTCATCATCAGCATCATCGTCATAATCATCATCGTCACCGGCATCAGCATCGGCATCGTCATCGTCGTCATCATCATCAGCATCATCAACAGAATCAGCATCAGTAGCATCATCAGCATCATCATCAGCATCACCATCACCATCACCATCGCCATCAGTATCACAACCATTATCACTACCACCATCGCATCATCACCTTAATCTTCATCACCATCCACATCCTCATCGGCACCCTCATCTTCTCCTCTCCACCCGTCCACATCCTCGTCCGCATCCTCCTCCACCTCCTGCTCCTCCGCCTCCGCCTCCGCCCCCGCTGGCTTCGCACCAGTACGAGGAGAGAACGGATGCACGGCGACGAGGACGCTCATGGTGCGCGCCCGTCCGATCCTCTGGCCTGGCCCGAGAGTGGTGTGTGCGCCCTCCTGGCCTGACTGGGAATGCTGCTGCACCGAGCCCGGGCCGGGATCGGCGCAGCAGCCCGTCGAAAGCGACGACGTCCCCCGACGACGTCGCTTTCGAGGAGGAGGAGAAGGAGGAGGACGAGGAGGAGGAGGAGGAGGAGGACGAGGAGGAGGAGGATTGGTTGTTCCATTTGCTGTTTTCAGACTTGGTGCACAGACGACGTCCCCCGACCGTCTCGAACGGCTCGGTCTTCTGCGAAAAGTCGGCCCCATCGCGCCAGTCTTTCACCCTGGATCGAGTCTGCACGGCCGCGGGGCCCCAAACGGGCGCCCAGATGCCGAGAAGCATTCTCTCCTCAGAGAAGACACGTGATGACGACAACTGGGAGGAGGAGGAGGAGGAGGAGGAGGAGGAGGAGGTGGGTGGAGGAGGATGGGAACGGCTTCCCAACGGATGGCAAGGGCACTCCACCATGTTCGTACAGCGCGCGGATGCAAAAATGACGGAAAACATCCCGAGTCCTCTCTTCTCCTCGACGAGAATGGCGACGACGTCCACCCCAACCTTCACCTTCGTAACGCTGGATGGCCAAAAGAGGTCCCGACTTATTCCCCGGGACCAGTTTTTCCTTAAGAATAATGCTTTGACGGTCCCCTGGCCCAGCGAGGGCCCCGAGAGGCCGAAAATAGCAAAAGAAACAAAAAGACTCCTCCTCCTCCACCTCCACCTCCTCCTCCATATTTTTTTGGCATGCGCTATGCTCAATGCGACGCAGAAGGATGATAAAACAGTACTCGGCCCCCGCTTAACAGGAACACTCGGCCGACAAGTCTTCCGTCAGCCTTTACAGCGGGCCCCCCGCTTTTGGGGTGTTTTAGCCCGGCTTTGTGCGCAGAGTGGCGCGCCAGCGCGTCAATTTCATCTAACGCAGCAACTTCCTCTCCCTGCAAAGGTGCACAATTGGCCAACACACATTCACCACACTGGTTGGCCTGTCTATTCAGGTGAGCAAGCAGCCAGAGTCTTGTCGAGAAAACAGTCTGGCACGCCTGGCACTTACAATCGCGGCCAGCATACATACGCATGACATTCCTCACGCCGTGTTTGACACGCATGTGCGTTAACAAAGCCTGCCTGGTCCCAAAAGCTCTGCCACTGCAGTGCGGGCACGAGAACGAAGCAACCGGCGGCTGCGCACTTTCACTGGCCCGTTGATTGTCGCGGACAGAATCCGCGAAGAAGAGCTGTGACACGAGCGAAGCCCAGTCCATATCCTCCTCCTCCTCCTCCTCCTCCTCCTCCTCCTCGTCCTTGTCCTTGTCCTCGTCCTCGGCCTCATCCTCCTTCCCCTCCTCGGAAGGAACGTTGTCGAAACCTCTTCGAATCTCTTCGACGAGAACGACGATCCCTCCCCTCCATGCAGCGCGAGACGAGCTTCAACAACGCCCGCGCGAGCACTGGCCCGTACGAGACGTGCGCGGCGCTGGAATCCGGCGACCCACGCGCCAGCTGCACGAGGTCTCCGACCATCTCCTGGGGGGGGGAGCCCTCGCTATTGGCGCGCCTGTCTGCTGAGGAGGAGGAGGAGGAAGACAAGTGTAAACCCAAGACTCATCAACGAAATTGCACAAAAAAAAACTCCAAGATCCCTAACCGTAGACTTCTATGAGGATGTTTTTTCACTGCGGGGGGAGCCCCAGTGGAAGACAACCGTCTGAAAATTCTCAAACGCGCCAAAGCACCATTGATGGGACACTACCACCACGAATCAACGTGACTGCTGCGTTCTGACAATCGTGACTCTTACCAAAACACCATTGATGGGACTCCATCGCCGCCAATCAACGTGACTGTCGTGCCATGACAATCCTAAATCGCGCCAAAACACAACTTCTGGGACGTCAACGTAAACTGTTAGACGAATGTGCGCGGCGCTGAAGCGATAGCCACGTTTCGAAAAGGAGCCGCCCTCCACCCGTAAAACTTTGGCATTTTGTACAGACGACTGCGCGCGGCACTGAGGCAAGAATCACGTATTCAAAAAAACTGAGCCGCCCTACATCCGTGAAACTACTGCGAAACTTGTCAGACGAATATAAGCACCGCCACGGCGCGAGCCGCATGTGAAAAACGGCCGCCTTCCATCTGCGAACCTGCTGCAAACTTCAAGATTACGAACAAGCGAACCACCTCTGCGGACACTCGTCCGGGCCCAATGGAGACCAGGTGGGGGACGCTACGGCCTCTAGGAAGATTTAGATACGCACTACGACAGCGAAGCAAATTAGAAACTTAAGACTGAAAGGATGGGGAGAAGGAGGAAGTCCTGGTTGTGGAAGTTTCGGTGGTGGATGCGGATGCGGCTGTCGACGAAGGTGCTTTCACATGTCGTCTTTGGTGTACTGGTGCTCCTGTGACGACTATGTGGTTGTGTCTTGTGCCGATTGTAACCAGGTGAGGTCATCAAGTTGACCTTTTGCTGTGGTTGGTGTGGGTGTCGGGTACAGGTCGGGTCTGTGTGGCTGTAGGTGCATAGTGATGTCGTCGTTCCAGCGTTTTCGCTGTCTGCCTGGCTGGCGGTGTCCGTGTTGTCGCGTGATTTCTTCTGGATGCCAGTGTAGTGCTCTACACGTCCACCTTGTGCGCTCTTGGTTGGCGACCCTTGTAGCCATGCACCATGACTTCGTCCATATCCACATTGGCAGTGACGTCGTCGCAGACGCTGTGCTTGCTTGGAAATGCAGATGTGTCGTGCGTTAGCGGATTGCTGCCGACGTCGTCGCTGGCGCTGTCGGCGTAGAGGTCTTTGCGTAATGCTTCGTCGTTCGTGCCGTCGGCGTCTTTGGTCTCGTCGTTGCAGCGGAAATCCGTTTCGCAGCTGGTGCGTCGTCGTGGGGTCCACATAAATCATGCGGAACATGCGTCGCTGTGCTCGCCACAAGTGTTGCCGGAAAATCCGTGAGCACCCACGCCTCTGCTCCGTAGAATGTTCCCGGGGTCACTGTGCCGTTGAAGAGCCAGAGTCGGTGCGCCAGTGGGTAGTGGTTTCTGGTCTTCTGCTTGCGTCAAGTGGACAAGGCCATGCAACTACCGTACGGTGGTGGACATCTCTCCATTGCGTTGTGAAAGGTGATGCGTTGACCGAAGTATTTGACACTGCTTTGGTGTGGGAGAATGTCGATGTCCGTGCCCTGGACGCGCGCCGTTCGTGAGCTCGCTCTCCTGGTCCATGTCGTCTGGCTGCTCAATATAATTGGTTTCGGAAGGGTGTAGTTCTAGTCCGTGTGGTCGAGCATAGTACGCACGCACAATGTCGTCGAGCATCGTACGAGAGTAAGTTCAATAGTGCTATCGATTGAGTGGCATCGAAAGACCAGTAGTGGGTGATACATATATATAAATATATATATATATATATATATCAGAGTGAGGGGGCTGAACCGAACGGTCATTTACTGTCCCTGGGTGCGTGGCTGAAGTGGAATTCCGCGATGCGGATTCTTGTTGTTGTTGTTGTTGTTGTTTGTTGTTTGTTGTTTGTTGTTTGTTGTTGTCGTCGTCCCAGCCGCGACCCGCCCCGCGACCCCCCGCGACCCACCCCGCGACCCACCCGCGACCCACCCGCGACCCCCACCCGCCCGCGACCCACCCGCGACCCACCCGCGCACCCGCGACCCGCCCGCGACCCCCCGACCCCGCGACCCCCCTGGCGACACCCACCCGCGACCCACCCGCGACCCACCCGCGACCCACCCCGCGACCCACCCGCGACCCACCCGCGACCCACCCGCGAACCACCGCGACCCACCCGCGATCCACCCGCGACCCACCCCGCGACCCACCTAAAATTTTCGGCGCTTCGGCGCCTGCGGCGGGTTTTTGTTTGCCTTAGTTCCAGGTGGAGAACCTGCGACCCACACTCGACCCAAACCGCGTTCAGTGTACAAATCAAAATGTTCGGCGCCTGCGGCGGGCTGTTTTTGAATTCCTTCCAGGTGCAGGTGGAGAGCCCGCGATCCATCCGCGACCCAAACTACGTTCACTGAACAAACCAAAACTTCGGCGCCTGCGGCGGGTTTCTTTTGCATTTGTTCCAGGTGGAGAACCTGCGACCCAAACCGCGTTCAGTGTACAAATCAAAATGTTCGGCGCCTGCGGCGGGCTGTTTTTGAATTCCTTCCAGGTGCAGGTGGAGAGCCCGCGACCCACCCGCGACCCAAACTACGTTCACTGAACAAACCAAAACTTCGGCGCCTGCGGCGGGTTTCTTTTGCATTTGTTCCAGGTGGAGAACCTGCGACCCAAACCGCGTTCAGTGTACAAATCAAAACGTTCGGCGCCTGCGGCGGGCTGTTTTTGAATTCCTTCCAGGTGGAGGTGGAGAGCCCGCGACCCACCCGCGACCCAAACTACGTTCACTGAACAAACCAAAAATTCGGCGCCTGCGGCGGGCTGTTTTTGCATTCGTTCCGGGTGGCCCGTCGTTGTGGTCGTCGTCGTCGTCGCGTGCGTTCGTCGTCGTCGTCGCCGTCGCCGCCGCCGCCGCCGCGGCCGCCGCCATCGCCGTCGCCATCGCCGCCGCCGCCGTCGCCGTCGCCGTCGCCGTCGCCGTCGCCGCCCCGCCTCACCCCCCCGGCGCGCGCGCGCGCTCCGCGGATGAGGGGAGGAGGAGCAGGGCGAGGAGCAGGAGGAGGAAGACGACGACGACGACGACGACGACGACGACGACGACGACGACGACGAGTACGAGGACGAAGAGGAGGCCGACGACGAGGGCGAGGAGGAAAAGGAGGGGGGGACGGAGGGGGACGACGAGAAAAGAGGGAGGAGGAGGGGGAGGAGCTGGAGGACGACGACGACGGAAAGGAGGAGGGGGGAGGATCGGGATGGGGGAGGAAGAGGAGGAGGAGGAGAAGGAGGAAGAGGAGGAGGAGGAGGAGGACGACGACGACGACGACGAGGACGAGGACGCAGACGAGGAAGAGGAGGAGGAGGAGGAGGAGGAGCAGGAGGAGGAGGAGGGCGCCATCGACAGAACAGGTGAGGGCCACGAGGTCCGCGGCTCGACGCCCGCGTCGCCCGCGCCCGCCCCCTCACTCTTATCCGCAATTGCGGGGTGCTACGTATATATCTATATATGTATATGTATATGTATCGTGGGGTCGATAGATTTATAATGAGATCCATAGATCGACAGACATGTAGTGAGGTCGATAGTGAGACCGATATGGATAGATCGGGCGATCGACAAATGCAGTGATAGTGAGATCGATTGAAAGATAGTGGGGCTGATCTATAGTGAGGCCAATAGAGATCGCTCGATGGATGGAGGTGGTTGTCCCGATGATTATCCCATCGTTGGTTCCACCGCGCCTCAAACTCCTTATCGGGCTTTTGAGAAGTAATATTACAGGTACGTGCGGAAGCCCAGCCTACACGGGCACAGAAGGGCCGAGCGTTGGACAAACATCTTGCAACATGTGTATCAGCTCTCGCCCAGACCAGCCACGTCATGTGTACCCGTGTACCCAGCACCCTGGCGCCCGACACCCTCCCCTGCCCCTCATTCGCCTCTCTGATGCCCTGGACGAAAAGATGTCGGCAGAAGCCTTCGCAAATTCGTTCGGATGTCTTGGATCGGCGTTGGACCCCCCTCCCTGGCGCGCGGAGCGCGCCAGGAGCGGCGCCGAAGGCGCCGCCGGGGGCCTCCAGCGCAAGTCCAAGAAATCCGCGCGGACCTCCGAAGGTTTATTCTTATGCAAGTTGTTTGCCTTCGACGCCCCCCCGCCCCCATCACTCGGGCGCACGCTGACATGGGCTGGGGATTTGTGGATCTGGCGTGTTGGCGCCAGATCCACGATCGGCGAAGGTGCACCCCGAAACATGAAGCCAGTGCCGCCCGACCTGGCAACTCAGCGCGCCGCCTCTGCAGTGGGAACGGGACCCGCCGCCAATCCACGCGCCATGATCTATGTCTGCGCTTCCTCGACCATCGCACCCCGCCCCCATCCGAGTCCGCTCCGCCCCGTCCACCCCCCTGCACAGGCCCTCTGACCTCGCCCAGGTCGGCCCCGTCATGTGCACCCAGCTTCTTGGTGCACGCCCATCCCTGGTCTCTAATATCCCTCTCCCGTACAGTCGAGGCGCACAATAAGGATGCACGATCAGGATGCAGGAGCCTTGGAAGGCCACGTCGACACATTTCGAGAGGGGCGCGGCCAACGAAAGTTGCCAAGGATGGGCCGAAGGGGCAAGGATGCAAACGTAGCCTTGGAAATTCGCTCATCCTTTCTGTGCGACTTGACAGTACCTCTCGCCCCCCATCCCAGTCCGCTCCTCCACGCCCTCCCCCTTGCGCACCTTCCTCGCCCTCCCTGCGCCGCGTCTCCCCTGCGCTCCTCCAGCCTCTTCGCCACGGCGTCGGCCTCCAGCACGTCTGGCTGATCGGCGCACAGCTGTACCTGGGGGGGGGGGGGGGGCGCGGCCCCCCTGAAGCGGATCGGCAGAGAGGGGGGGAGCAGACCGCGGTATCCAGCGAGGCCCCGACGAGCTCTTGCAGACAACCGGACATCACACCGTCGAACTGGGCCACCCCAGAGGTGCCGCGGTTAGTTCGCAAGAGGTGCGTCACTGCGCCCCGGGTACACGCGCGGAAATTATAGAAGTTGCCCCCGCCGAAAAGCCCGTTCGGAGCAGCCCAGTGAACTATGAACCTCACTGCGTTTGCCACTGCAGAAGCGCCGTCGGTGCCAGCGTGGACCCGGATCCCCTCGTTCTCTTGGTCTTGCCACGGAGCCAATTTGCCCAGACTCTTCAGGTGCGGCACCCGTCGCCCCGCCAGCGAGAGGTGGAGGGCCGCGCTGGCGTCCTTGGCCCAGGCTGGCATCTTTCCAG